GAGTTTTACCCATAAGGGACTACCTAGTACTGTTTTCGCATGCGCTTTTGAGAAACAACAATAGCAGTTTTGGCACCAAAAACTATAGGAGAAAATCTTTTCAAGCTCTCAAAAACTTCCGTGCGTATCACAAATCACAAAAATGGCGTTAGGAAAAGTACTGTCAACTCATTTGTTTTACTACTTTCGATAAAGCGGAAAAACTTGGAAAGTCAAGGTTGAATCATAAATGATATCCGTTGAGATTGGCGACACGCTACGTGAGGATAGATTTTATGGGTCACGCGTTCAACTATACGATTGTACGTGGCTGTGTATTTTACCGTATTCACCTAGTATGTTGTACTGAAATAATATCATATTTTTCTCTAAATAAACTCAAGATCGCGTTTCTAAAGGTTCGGGTTTATCAGAGACGATCCCCACGGAAAGAAAAAAGAACGTTCACAAATATAACCTTCTCTACACACGACTTATTCCCAATCAAGATCATGGATAACAAAAATTACAAACCAATGTTAGATAACCTTAAAATTAATACAATTGCCACAAATCCGTAATAGAGTAACCGCATGGAGCGATCAAAAACAAATATTCAGGGAAATTCGAATGTATTACGTAATACGAACTCAATGCCTTTACCCAGCCAAGCACTTTAAGGGTGGAATTGCCGTGACGTCACATGCATTGCGTCACGGATGACGTAATAAATACGAGACGCGGGTTTGCCGCATAAAACAAACATTTGTGTTTGACCTACAGAAGTCCTGCTTCGTATGGTGCAGTCAGTTGTTTTGAAAGCAAGAAAAAAAAAATGATTGATTCGAACTGAAGAAAATTAAAAAAGTCTTAACCAGAACATACATGTAAAGCTTACATCTACTAATACCTATATTATATGTATAGCTGTGATTTAATAGGTTGAATGCGCAAAGAGAAAATATTATTGGTTAAAATTAAAAATTTTCGTTTATTTAGTAGCTGTGGCAATAGAACATTTAATATCAACGGTCCATCAGTTTAGGAGATTGGAAAACCACGATGGGTAACTAAACATTTAATAGCACAACTTTTATACAAAAAACATGGCTATTAAGTAAACAAAACTATTTGGGGTATGAATTTTTGAATTACACATTTTTCATAGCCAAGATTTTTGTTAACTAATGAAGCATAATCATATTATTTATTTTTGTTAATGACAACACACGTTACTAATCGTTGCGGTTTTAAGAGTCATTCCATTAGTATTGTAAACAATTTCGTAGACTTAGCCTAAAGTTTATTAGTAATACCCCGTGGCAGTCTAGGTTGGTAGGGGGAAGGGAGGGAGTTCCCAGACACCGCTAGACGGCTGTTTGTCGACTACAAACAATGGAAGTGCAACGTTCCGTCGCATCTGTCTTTGTAAACTGTTTTGAGCACTACAGCCGATCTATACTAATATTATAGTTTGTTTGAACGCACTAACCTCTGAAACTACTATTTCGAATTGAATAATTATTTTTATGTGTATATTACTTTTTACGCTACTCTCTCAGTTTTACGTACACCGAGAGAGTAGCTAGCTTATTATAACTGTCGTTCAACCCAAAAATATTAGAAAGATTATGTTTTTAACAAACAATATATCGACTTTTCAATCAATGAAAGACTGAAATAATCATATTTTCCATTGACGAACGCTTGGTAAGTAGTTCAGACATATTGGCAATTATTGCTTAATACGTTTTTAGAGTTTTTTTTCTAATGACATTTCACTTACATTACTTAGAAAAATCCCTATTACAATGGCCCAAAAACTGACAAACAATGTAATGACTGCACTGTCACGCAAAACTAGCATTAAACCGTTTGATTTAAGGATTAAATTAGTCTGACGCGTTCTCATTCATGGAACAATAGGCTTTGTGTGAATGTGTTTTGATAAAATAGTTTTATTAAAATCAATAACAGGGAGAGGTAAGTAAGCTTTAAATTCCTTTAGTTACTAAGGACAAGAAACGATTCCGTTGCCATGGCAATCGTGTACACAACAGCCTTTAATTTCCTCAGGAAAATCTGTCTAATACGGCAATATCGATCGGATCCGAGACTATACGTCAAGGCTAACCCAGCTGGTGCGAATCACAAAGTATGAATCGACGAGGGCTACTAGTTTTTGGCTTACCAGACAGCATTATAATTTAGAATTGAGAAAAAGAGATATTTTATGTGCGGACGAGCAAACGGATTACGTATAATGGTAAGCAATCAGCGCCGCCCATGGACAAAAGCAACAATGGAGAAGTTACGAGTGCGTTGGCGATTAGGGGAAGGGAAGGATTGGACCACTGGTAACATCATTCACACGGCGAAACACAACGATGTGGTTGATTCACGCCGGTTTTCTGTGATGCCGTGGTATCACTCCGGTCGAGCCTACCCATTCGTGTCGAAGCTTAGCCCTCCCACAGTATTACGTCAATTATTGTCAAAAAACATTGTACATTCTTCAGACTACTACATTATTGGTCTTACAGACCGCACACTACAGTTATGACCATTTGGATCAGCAAAAACTGGTCTCTCTTCAGCTCTTATTGACATCAATATCGCACTGATTTATTTGTTTATTTGATATGTGTTTGGTTGGTATGGCCACTTGGGGGCTATGTTTCATACAGTTCGATCAAGATAGCAGGAGGCAGAACAGGATAAATGAAACACTAGGACTGATTATATATGACTATTTTTTTAGTGCTTGTCTAGTTAGGTACATTGTATATGTTAATTTTCAACGGAGCAACTTTTAATCAGGGGTAGCTTCTGCTATTGTCTGTTACTCATCTACAAGTAACGGAAGAATTTTATTGTAAATTGACGATAAACAATTACATAAACTGCTGAATTTTGAACACATTGAATGTGTGAATGAGCATCATTTTAGCTTACATGTGTTAATTTAATTTGGATGTAAAGAAGCCATAATGCAGTCTAATTCATTACTGAATTGCTATATAAAAATGTTTTAGTAAGCGCATAACTGTGGTGACTAAATTTGCAAATTCTGCTTGTGTTGTGTTTGTTATTGTCATGAGAATGTTATCAAGAAAGAAAATTTTAGAGAAGTAGTGGGGTAAAATCGGAATTTGTAATGCTACCAATTTGCTATCGAAACAAATGACTGACACCAAGGTAGTTGGACATTCCTATGACGCAGTAAAGGCGAATTTTAAATGCAGAAAGTACTTTATTGTTTCATAAGGTAGTTTTCTAGCTAAAAAACAAAATATTTTGATGTTTTAGTACAATTAGTTATTCAAATACCTTTATAATAACCTTCTTGACATGATGACTAATGATGATGATGAAAACTATGTATTAACTGAATCTGAAGAATACTGAATGGATTTGAATACTTTTTCATTGTACAGCTAAAGAAGCATATGTATAGCGCAATGATTCACCTTGTCTTGGGTTCCATTGTGAATATGAGAGCCAAGTTACTTGAAACTGGTCAAATTCCTTATTGGTTACATGAGTAAGCCCATAAAAATAATTTAAAAGCTCATTATTTATGTGATACTTACGTTACTTTCAAATGGCTATTGGAAAGTCATTGGTGGTTTATCAAGAGATGTCCTTTTTAATGATTGGATAATTTTTATCAGTTTAGGCAAAACACTGTAAAGGAACTGTTTCACTACCTATATACAAGTTCCCAATATGAAATAAACATAAGTATGTGGCACATATTTCACAAAAATAGCATCCTATATTACCATTTATCTGGTAAAGTGCTAATCAAGAAATTGTGTACAATACAGCAGAGCTTGCGGGGCACTCAGTCTACGCAGGAGGTTGACTGCATGGTTGGTATAAGATGTTGTGGGTTTGATGCCCGCACAGAATGACACTGTGTGATCTACAAAATGCTGTTTCAGTTCTGGCGTGACGACTTGTGTATATGAATTTGAAATGTTGGTAAACACACAGGAAAAACTCTTAGCATAGTATTTAATGAAAAATAATAATAAATGGAGTCAGTAAAAACCTGAATCTCCCTCTTGTCTATCCCTAAGCGTGAGAAGTGATTTTCTCCCTACAAAACAATTACTGTGAAAATGGCTTTAGTACTGTAACTAAACAAACAATAATAATATATGATTGTTTATGTACCTATACATGAAGATTTAAATAGAAAATTACAAAATTATGTCTAGATAAGTTTAAGAAATACAAATATTGAGTTGCTACATAGCATTTTTTCAATTCATATCATCTCTCCTTGAACAAAATACAACAATTTTACTTTTGTTAATTATTAAGTTTTAAATTGTAGGTTACAGTGGACACAGCTGTTTGCAAGTCCTAAGATGACCTTTAGACCTAACAGCTGTTTCACAGTGTCGAAAATTTAAGGTTATGTAAAAAAATACCATGCAGTGCTATAAAAATGAGACATTCCACAACTGGGGAGTCATTTCATTTTTGAACATTAATTCAAAGGCACTAAGGTGCAATTTGCAAAGAAACATCTGCAGGGTGACAAGTGCAGTGACTTGGCAAAGCAATGAAAAAATATATTGATGAAATTGCAACAACATTGCAAAACATTCTAAATTCAAATTTATTTACAAGTTTTATTACCACAAGCTTAGTTTATGGTTTGTGTACGCGAAAAAAACCTACAAAGGAGATCGTTAGTCATAGATCAGATTTTGACGTTTATGGCGCCCTAGGACACGCGCACGTTGCACACAACATAACCAAAGTGTAGATACGAAACCTGGCATCGTTAGCAACGTATGATTAAGGTCGAAATCTTTCGACTTCCAACCCACTTGCTAGCGTGTCACCTAGCCAGAGACTCGCGCATGCAATTTAAGCGCATGTGCAAAAAGTGACGCAGCCTTGTTGGCAGTTTCGTCCAATCATGTGGCCAAAAACATGCCACGGAAAACTTCATAACCCAAACAAAACTTAAATGAAGCACTAAAAAACTTTCAAAGACTCACCCTCTAGCCATTTCCAAGCTCTTGATCAGCTTCTTGATCTTCCATATTTCGACATTACGATCCGCAGACGATTCTTCAGACATTTTGGATTGGTTTTATTTAACTATTACACCACAAAAACGCACTAATAGACAAATATAATTAAAATAAAGTCTAAATAACACACCACTAAACTTCTTAGTAAAGGGATATAAGGGAAAGGGAGCCCGACTTGCGATCCAAACTGCTCTAATCCAGATCGAACCGGACGGACAAGAACCTCGTTATTCTATTCACGCACTTTAGAGTTCACATTTACGGTTGCCGACGCTCGTACTTTTCTTCTAGTGCGGGGATTCTTGGATTTTTTCTTTATTCGGTTACCCCTAAGCATGTGGGACGTAGAAATAAGACATTACAGGGATAAAAGATGACGTTGAACAAACGATCGAACGAACGCTTATCCGTCCGTCGATGAAATGAAAGAAGAAAAATGCGGTTCGCAGTTGCCAACATGAAAAATTTAAATATTGATTTTTATTAGTCCATTTATGCGGCTATTGCTGATTAAATTCGTCTTATTATTAAAGTAAGCACGAGGATTTGTTCTTACTACTATTTTATGAAAGATTTGTTTGAAAGCGGTTTGTTGTGAAGCGTACTTATAATAGTTTAGTCAAGGTTACAAAGAACTTTTTGTGTAAGTTATTACTAGCAACAACTAGCAACCCTAAAAATAGGGACGAGCACGTAATATTATTTTATACGATAATACTTTTGTATTAGTTTTAGTTTTTAATATTTTACAATAATAATTTCATATTTAGAGTTGAATGAGATCTATACATTTTTCAATAAAAGTACCTACCTTCTTTTACTTAATTAGAACTTTATCATCTTAAAGTGATAATGAAAATGATACCTTCGATCTTGGGTATTTATTTGTGCGCATTATTTTTACTAAAATACTGTACATACAGCTATTTGCATAAAAATAATTCATTTTCATAAAGTTCCCAAGCTTCACCGCCTATTTGTACCTGATAAATTACATAGAAAATAGTCATTTGTCTTTTATTTTTCTTATTTAAATCTTTTTTTGCTTTTGAACACTTTTTTGTCTGTTCTTAGACCATAGAAAGTATGTAGATTTAATTCTTCCATGCGCCTTTCGACTGTGTTTCCTAAACCATACATATTTCTGCATGGTGATTCCTATTGTAGTACTGCAGGATTCTGGATGAACTCTCATCAATGTACAGGCACCTGGTACCATTTACCTGTTTGTTTCTTATTTTTATGTGTGATTACGTTCATCAATAAAATTAGTAGATTTTTTGCCAATGATATTTGTTTTCCAAAGCTCACATGTTTTTCCAGTTTTCCAGTTAGTGTACTAACCACAGCACTATTCAATGTCATTCAATCAGACGACCAAAGTGAGGTTATAATTTCGCAATCGCTCCCGAGATGTTATGTAGTAAATTAAAACAAATTGTATTACCGCAACAGGCCTTAAACAACAAAGTACAGTTTCGCTACTTGATAACGTCTCGATATCTGTGCAAGCAATGGATCTGGTACGATGGGTTTTTGGCAAATTTAGGTAAAAAAGAAGTTGGGAGTATGTCTGCTTTGAGGTTTATTTTGAGGGACTTTCGCGTGTGGAGTGCTTGGACAAGATGTAATATAGTGAGTACGGTGGTTAAACGATGTAGAAGAGATCGCAGTGTAAGGGAAGTGATACAGAGATTCAAACAAACTTTCTTTCGACCGAGAAGAACTCTGCTTATATCCGCTACTGCAGCGTATAAGGCTCGTGAAGGAGAGGACGACGATAATACCCCAGTCAGCTGCGACAAGAACATTACAGATGAAGAATTACAGGTATTATTGTCAATGTATTTTATTCAAGGCATATTTCTTTCCCTTTCTAATAAGTGCTAATAAGACAATAATTAGATAGTAAATAATAATTAGTCTGCCCTTTATTATGAATCCGATAAAATATATAACGACAAATTAATGTTATGAGACTTATAGAATTGTTTGTATCCAAGAAATCTAAAATTGTAATTGTTTTTTTTTTGAATATTGTGTTTTGCCTGAACATTCTTATTTCCTTTGCCACAAAACTCAGGAAGTTGATAAACTATTCTATTATCTATAGTTAAAATGGTGCATTGTTGTTATATAAAGTTCTTTGGAAAAATACTGAAAAGTAAAATGTTTTTCTTCTCTCAAGGTCAAATATAAAAATAAATGATTCACACTACTAAGTAAATGTTTACATACAAAAGGCAGTTCAATAAACCTGTGTTATTTTGCAATATTTATATCTTCTTTGTTTTTCTTATTGTAAAAAAAACAAAGTCAAATTGTCTTTGTTTTGTTACTATTTTTATGCTGCCTCATTGAGTTCTGAGATAAAAATTACTGCTTGGTTTTTGTTAATGTACCTATGTTGTTATATTAAAAAGGTGATTTATTTTGAGGGCAAAATAATACCTTTTTTTATTCTGTCTAATACAAATACATAAATTCTACTACTTAATATAATTAACACAAAACTTTCCAAGGATGGAAGTTTGTGATTGTTTTACATAATTAAATATTCAATAATCTTAATTAAAACAGGCAAAGGGGTAGATTATAGTCTGGAATCATACATAGGCTACTTTTTACCCTATTACTGGTACTAGAAGAAGCTATTAAGTTTTCTTAAGACAAATAGTATAATAATCAAACACATCAAATTGATTATTATACTATAGTGAGTGAGGTGACTTTTTTTTTTATGCTTTGTAAAGAGTCTATGGTAGGTAAAAAGTGTGATATAGATCATAGATTAGACTAGTCATAAAATTTAAAATTATAGGTCTGTATTAAAAAGTATTCTTTTGAATTTCTATTAATTCTTTCAAACATACAAAAAATATTTTATTCATTCAAGATACTTGTTTAAACACCTAACACTCTAGACTTCACAATAATTAACTAAATTAAATTATTACTAGGGGAAATTTCGAGCTGTTAGAATGTGGACTCTATTGTTTACATTAATATAGAGTTCAATATACATTGAAGCTTCAATGTTTATTTTTAGACTGTGGATTACTCAAGCGCTGCTATTCTGATATGAACTTTAAAGTAATCACTATAGAGTTGATATTTGTTCATAAGTTTATAAGTTACTGTATTCTTATTTATAATTACTTTTTTGTGTCCTGGGTTACAACACAAAGATATACTGTACAGGTTGTAAAAAGACACTTAACGAAGCCGAAAGCCATATTAACATCATATTCTACCCATTATTTGGATCTTTTTTTTTCTTTAAGACCATAGCTGGGACTCCACGGGTTCTCGAGATATTGAAGGTCACAGATGCATTTTTTTTTTGCTCAATCAAATTCTAAGTATTAAAGCAAAAAAATTTTCCAAACAAACATTACCTGAATTTTCGATTTTTCTAAATAAATGACGCATTTGAAGTTACGAACAGTAATAAATAAATGCAGACCCGCACAAAAAACATCATGCATCTCAGTAGGATTTTTATTTTAAAGAATTGTTTTGTTGTTGCGAAGTAAAACGTCGACCTACGTACTTATCACAGCGTTTTAATGCTAAGCTGTGAATCTACGCACACAATGACACGAAGCCTATTTGCTTTACATTGCGCGCAATAAAATTATTATATTTTTTGATACCTAAAAAAAAAGTCGTTTCCCAGTGACAATTTAAGCGTAAAGCTACTTCGTTAGAACTGCAGTATGCGTAGGTAGTTAAGGGCTTCGTTAAGTGTCTTTTTACACCCTGTATGTATATCTTTTCTTTTGTCCTGAGAAGTCATCAAATGACTGCCCCACAACCCTGGTTGAACATCTGCCCTCTTTGGTCTGTTGTGGTCTATTGTCTCTTTGAGGCGCACGCGGAACACTACGCGACATTTATATAGCTTGTATAACAAATAAAATATAATAATTTATCCTAGCTACTCTCATGGTTTCACCAGCTGCTCGGCCGCGGCTCTATTCGATCCTAGCGTGATGTTTTATATAGATAGGTACAGAAATTTTTTTGCTATCTATCAGTATAATAATTTTGGAAATCCAACCAGTGGTTTTAAAGATTACCCCCTACACGCCGGGGTTTAGCGCAATGAGTCATCGCGACCTCGACCTAGAGCAGGAGAAGGAACGGGGTTTTTTTAGTCAGTAAGAGGCTGACACTCTCCCTCGCTTTACCCTAGGCGGAAGGTCAGGGAGAGGTCATTTGATGATTTTCCCCTGACAAAAAAACCCCTACATACAAACTTACATATTAAAAACTAGCTACTCTCGCACGGTGTCACCCGCTGCTCGGCTCCTATTGGCCATAGAGTGATGTATTATAGCGTAAGCCTTCCTCGATAAATGGACTAACAAACAAAAGAAGAATTGAGCAATTTAAACCAGCAGTTCCAGAGATTAGCTCGTTCAAAAAACAAACTATTCAGCTTTATAATATTAGTATAGATTTTACCTCTTTATAATGTTAGTTACGATTTCAATGTGTGTTCTCTTTCCGCTCAGGCCCTTCTATCAGAGCTGGATGGCGTGGAGACATTGTCAAGGAACACTCTCTTCTGCACCGGTTGTGGCAAGAGACTAGTCATTGAGAAGAAGCAGCCAGGAGTGCCATACTGCTCGTGAGTATTATAAAAAATGATATAACATTTTTCTAGATTATATATATACTAGCTACTCTCATGCGGTTTCGCCCGCTGTTCGGCGCCATTTAATCGTAGCGTGATGTTTTATAGCCTACAGCACTCAGGAACATTGTAGCTATCTATCAGTGAAAGAATTTTGGCAATCCGACCAGCGGTTCCAAAGATTACCCCCTACATACAAACTTACAAATTTTACCTCTTTATAGTATTAGTATAGATTAATCATATAAACTAGTAATGGTTTATATGATTAATCTATACTAATATACTGATAAATAATGGTAAGCAGTGATACAACCGTTGATGGTAAGGCGCACTAGTTCATTAAGAGCCTATTCACTCTATCCTCGAAGACATCTAAATCATAACCGGTCGGGAAGACCATTGCATTCCAATCCTTAGATATGCGTGGTATAAACGATGAAGCGAAACGCTTAGACTGGATGGTAGATGTTATCCAACTAAACCATAAACAGGTACTTTTGTAACGTCAAAATAGAATAATAATCCGTCAGTCTCTCCGACAGTGAAGCTAGGTGCTCGTTCCAATCAGGTGATAGGCATATGAAAATATTTAACAGCTGTTTTTTGTGGTACGGGCGGTGTAGACGTTTTACCTGATGGTAAGTAATCCGGTGTTCGGTGGTTGGCACCGCTAGGAGCCGCGCAAGAGTCAGGGCAGGCATGGTGAGCAGCAAGCTGTTAGTGGCGCGTGGTTGAGTACGGTGGGGGCGAAGTTTCTACCAACCCCCCTAGAGGTAGCGGGCGGGAGACTCACGCGTCATCCGGGATGGGGAGATGCATTGCCTATAACCCCACTCACACGAAACACAACATCATCCTTGTGATATCATTCCGGTTGAGCCAACCCATTCATGCCAAAACGTGGCTCTCCCACACTTATTATGATTAAAGTTGATCAGCGTTTCAGAAATTGTGTGTGATATAATGTGTGGAAGAGCCATGCTTTGTCACAAATGGGTCGGCTCGACTGGAGTCATACCACGGCCTCACAGAAAACCAGCGTGAAACAACCACAACGTTTTGTTTCGCCCTGTGAGTGAGGTTACCGGAAGCCCGATCCCTCCCCAATCCTAAAATCTCCTAATCCCTAACTTTTTAACTCCTTAAGGTTGGCGACGCACTCGTAACTCCTCTGTTGTTTTGGGTGTCCATGGGCGGCGCTGATTGCTTACCATCAGGTATTCTGTCTGCTCGTTTGCCGACCTAGCACATAAAAAAATGTATGTTAATTTGCCATTACTAGTATCATTTCTTCTTTTATTTCTTTTGTTTTTTTTTATTTTTTCAGATGTAAAGTATCAGAGGTCCCGGCCGAGTCTCCGGACGGATGGGTTCCCTATATGGAGGCTGAGGATGTCATCATTTGGAGGAAGGAGTACAAACCTGGCATGGGATTATATGCATATAAAGGTGCGTAAAGTCTGATTATTTATGTTTTACAAAGTAACTCGAATAGTTTCTTGCTACGCGGGGGCTCATAGCATTGTACGAGAAATCATCATCAACATAATTCTAACTTCAAAAGGTCAACAAGGTCGTGTTTTTACTAAAATCACTACATAGTATAAAGTACAAATGCTTTCTCTGTCCCTATATCCCTATGCTTTTTCATTTTATGAGGGGAAAATCATCAAATGACTTCTCCCGCCCAGGGCCGGGCGGGAGGGAGTGTCGGGTGTCTCATTGCGCTTACCCCGCAACCCCGACTGAACATCAGCCCTATGGGCCCCCGTCTGTGGTGGTCTATTGGCTCTTTGATGCGCTCGATCCCCGATGCCCGGAATGTCGCCTTCTGCGGCGGCTGGCACGGAGGATAGTTATCTCGCGCGCTCCGCCACCTCCTTTGCGAGCATATTTGCTTAGCAGAAGGAGGAGATAGCTTCCCAGTTCCTCTCGCTATGAACCATGGCCTCGATTAAGGCCGGGCGCGAGAGGTTGCCGCCATATCCCTTTGCTTAAATCTTTAAAAATAGGCAACGGATTCAATGCGGTTTTTCTAATAGATAGTGATTGCAGAGGAAGGTTTACATGTATATGTCGCAGGGATATGATAAAAACAGGGATTTGGCCAAATCCCTAAGGGATTTGATCAAATCACGGAGGATGTTAAAATAACAACAAGTTTTTATCATTTCCCTAAGCAAATCTGGTAATTTGACAAATCTCACTAAAGAAATCTAGTGATTTGAACAAATCCATTAATTGGTTCAGTGAAATGACAAAAATAACTTTCGTGATATATTTTTAAGGTGTATTTTGTAAGATTATCCATTTTTTTTAATCTTTATTTTATTAAAAGGGCTTTTTTCCATACAGAAGATTTCAACCCTATTATTGTGTACAAAATTCAGTGCTTACTTATTAAACCATTTATAGGTTTAGCTAGCTCTTAACTTTAAACATAAAATAATTAGACGATACAATTTTTAACACACTATGATAAAAACCAATATCATAACTGTTAAAACTAAAATCCTGATATCTCTGAGACTCAATACGACGACACTCATACAAAATGTGTTGAACGTAAGATTATCCATAATAATTAAAATAATCAGGTGTATCACAATGCAATATTAATTTCTAAAATCACCACTAGAACATTATTATTTCAAAAAAGAAAAAGAAAAATTAAAAAAAAATATAATTATAAGTAAGTAGAATAACTGAACGTATCATACGTTAAGTTTAAGTTAAAGCGCGGTCACTGACAAGCATGTGCGAGCGCGACGTTTTAATAGGTCGGCAAACGAGCATACGGATTAGCTGGTGGTAAGCAATCAGCGCCGCCCATGGACACCCGCAACGGAGGAGTTACGAGTGCGTTGCCGACCTTTTTGGGATTAGCTATTTGGAGATTTAAGGATTGAGGAGGGATTGGGGGAGGGGAAGGATTGGGCCTCCGGTAACCTCACTCACACGCGCTGTGTGCGAAATACAACGCTGTGGTTGTTTCACGCCGAATTTCTGTGAGGCCGTGGTATCACTCCGGTCGAGCCGACTCATTCGTGCCGAAGCATGGCTCTTCCACACTTCGTAAACAAGAACTGGACATGTTTTATTATCATTTCACTAAATTAATTTAGTGGTTTGTTCAAATCACTAGATTTGCTTAGGGAAATGATAAAAACTTGTTGTTATTTTAACATCCTCCGTGATTTAATCAAATCCCTTAGGGATTTGGCCAAATCCCTGTTTTTATCATATCCCTGCGACATATACATGATAACGTCAATGAAATAGTGGAGAAATTTATATGTAATGTAATTCAGTCGCTAGTATTATGTTTATTTATTTATTATATTATATTATTTGATAGTAAAAAATTAAATTAAGCCCTAAATGTGTTGGTGAGCGCATAAGTCAACAATACCTGGACCAATATTACCAATACGGTAGTTTCCAACTAGTCAAATTCAATACTTTTATTCAAATGTCAAAAACGATACCTGTCTATGAAAGGGGAATGCCAAGTCCCCATAGTAATTTAGGCCCACTGTGCACACATATAAAAGTTCATGATTATAATAGAGGGTAATTCCAATAATCAATTGGTAAAAGAAATTATATCAAAAATACTTGGCACTTAAAAGTTATTTAAGGTTTTATTATTTCATTAACACTAGTAACGTTAAAAAAACAAAATAATAATTATTTTAATTTTATAGTGTGGAAGTGTAAAGCATAATAACTGGGAGTAAAATAACACAAAACACCTTTAGTTTTACATATTTATTCTTGTTGATCATCACCATATATGAGTAAAACATCATCAACTAATTGTGCGGGTGGAAACACATTATTTTGATGCCTTGTCCATCCTAAATACCATATTATTATCACGGTCATGACATAAGCACAGCATCCTACAGTACGCCAGCCACCAATACAGTTACTGCTGCATGGCCTGTGTCAACAGTGCCAACTAAAACCGATATACAGCTTTTTGCGATGAACATGGCGACTAGTGATTCTGGTCCTTACCAGTGAACAGATTTGTGCAAATATAGTGATTGTTCTATTACTATTATTAGTACATACTTCTATACAGTATGCCCTGGTAAATCTCATTTGCTTGCCATAGTATGAGCGAGCTTGCTTAAGTTAATAAGTGTCACAAGCAATCAATATTAAATCACTTATTTATATTTATACCAGGGAATTCTCTTATATCTCATTATTAACAGTAATGTTTTGAAAATCTGCTTCACAAGTAGTGTTTGTATTCCATGTATGTGATTGTTACCTTAAAATTGATGTGCCACAGTGATGACACATACATTTACATGACCAATAATTGGCTCAAATCTTGTTGTATGTCACATTTCATTCCAAGCATTTGTCCTACATGTATGGCACACTAGACTATCACTGGAAACTTGTACCTACAAGAAAAGATGAGAGCAGTTACAAGATCAGCACACAAAGTACTTTTAAAATACTATTAAGTACTAAGAGATTTTAAATATATATGATCATTAATTACCTGGCTAATCTATCGTTGTATATGATTTCGAACTTCAGTGATTTCCAAAGTATGTCTTCGAATTCTAGATACATTCAAACCGCAGTATAAACAACGTAGATCACCACTCACAGCAGTAGATGACTGTTGTGAATAACTAGGTCCAGAGTAAATGCCGGGTTCGTCGTCGGTCGAAGCGTGTACGGTGTAATACCAAATCAACATTGTCGATACTATATAAGTCCAGACTGAATGCCGGGTTCGTAAGCCAAAGCGTCTAATACTAAATCCAATTTATCACCAGTGTCGTCATAAGTAGCAGGAGCAGAATCCATAATCAGGCTGTAGTCTTCAAGGATAGGAGAATCCTCAAAGTTACTTAATGAGTGAAAGTAGTCAGTTTAAACCACGATTAGTATACACAAGTCGTAAGTAAGTAAACAAACAAGCAATGATTTTGACATTAACTTTTTCCGGCGGCTTGTCAAAAGTTGACTTGATGTTGCCATAAGAAGAAAAAATCGATAGATCGATTATATTATTGTTTCACAGAAAAATTGTTCTTTAATGGAAATAATATTAGTTTCCATTACATGATATTCATTAATTCATTTTCTTTTCGGAAAGATATTTCTGTCTATTAAAAATAATATAACTATTATTGTTCCGATTCATTCTTGGTAGTTTTTTTTGTAAAGGCAACATCTTGAAAATATTTTTATGTTTCCTAAGATTAGTCATTTTCATATCTATTTAATGTTTTTGAAAAAATATCCCATCATGCACAGACTTATGAATATGTGCAAGACATGTGTAAAATAACAAGGTATTTTTCTACTGAAACCAATTTGCTGTGCAGCTCTGGGCCTAAAATTGGCATTCCCCTTTGTATGAAAAACTGAGTAATGAGGTCAAAGTCTCGTGAAATAGCTTACTTATTTCTTAATAATTAGCTAAAAAATATCTAAAACTTTAGTGTATCGATCGATCGATGAATGAAAGTATAGTTATTTTCCAATATTTTATTGTATTGAAACGTCGTATTAATTTATTTTTGACCTAGGAAATTACCCAATTCTTTTTTGTTGTTTAAATTTTGATCTGCCTGTTATAATCGAGAATTAAATTTTTGGAAAATTATCATATATTGTCAGCATTCGTTTTGAGACGGAGTTACTACGCCCTTCAGAGGTCAAGGTCAAGGTCGAGGTCGATACGCACCACCTAATGCGTTATCGTAATTGACTGTGAAGGTCACTTGTGATACATAATCGGAAAGATAGCTTATGTTACAAAGTAGTTTAGTGTTATTCTGTTTACGTTATAATTACTTAAGCTCTTTTTCCACAAGGTGGGAGGGGGAGGCAGAGAAGCCTATTTTTCCGAACTTTTTTTTCATGTAATACATAAACCAGCTTACAGTACAGATTATTTGATGGTAAGCAATCATCGTCGTAGTCGCCCGGAGGTTAAGGAGCCTGCTTCTCATGCATGAGGGTTCGAAACCTGGCAAGTACCAATGTGACTTTTTCCGAGTTATATGTACTTTCTATGATTATTTAGACACCACTGACATACGGTTAAGGTAAACACCGCGAGGAAACCTGGACTTATAATTTCCAATTATAAGTTTGAAATCGCCAACCCGCATTGAGCAAGCGTTATGATTAATGCTTAAACCTTCTCCGTGTGAGAACAGGCCTTTGCTCAGCAATGGGCACTTATAAGCTGATGATGATGATGAAGCAATCATTGCCATGGCCAAACGTAATACCAGAAAAGTTACGAATGCGTTGTACGCCTTTTGGGGATTAGATTTATTTTTATACATAAAGATACTAGCCACTGTCGCGCGGTTTCCGCTGCTCAGCTGCATTTCATCGTAGCGTGATGTTTTATAGCCTATAGCACTCAGGAACATTGTAGCTATCTATCAGTGAAAGAATTTTGGCAATCCGACCAGCTATTCCAAAGATTACCCCCTACATACAAACTTTACCTCTTTATAATATTAGTACCTATAGATTATTATTTGTCCATATGTAATATGACAAGAACCTTAGCCACAGCAACGCGTGGCTGGGCCTGCTAGTTTAAGTATAAATTATCATGCTTATATTTATTTATTTATTTATTTATTATAAGCTTCATGCACAAGATATTGTACACAAGGTGGACTTAATGCTTTGAGCATTCTCTACCAGTCTGACCTTTGGGTGATGCAGAGAAGAATACCAATGGCAGATGCAAGAAGCAAGCATGAAATTTTTGAATTTGTAACAGGCTGAAGAATGTATATACCACTATAATAAATCTACACAAACAATACATATATATATCATTCAATACCAAGTAAATACATATATGTATACTTACATATAAACTAACTAACGTTACATAAATACATACAATCATACACACACTATGTATATAATGTTATGATCCATATCATTTATATCATAATCATAACCAGAAAAGTAAACATATTTATTTGTACTATCTTATCTTTATCTCTTCTATCTCGTTAACTAACGCTGTGTATCTCTGATATGGATGGATTTGGATAAAATAGACCGAAACACAACATTTTGGCCCACCATATACCTTGTAGGTACACAGGCGTGAATAAATTTACATTGTGTTTGGCTGTGTTAGAAATGTTACTAGAGGTCCAATCTTAACCACATACCCCCATCTTTTCGCGCGCGCCTCAAAAAGCTAATAGACCACTACAGACGAAGCCCTATAGGGTTGATGTTCAGCCGGGGTTGCGGGGTAAGCGCAATGAGGCACCACGACCTCATTGCGCTTACCCCTCATTTCGTTTCACCTTAGGCGGGAGAAGTCATTGGATGATTTTGCCGCCACAAAAAAAAGCAACAAATGAATTCGTCCAACACACGTTCCAAGGCCCCGTGATTTTCCGCGTGTTTTAAACACATCACCTACAAAGCTTTATCTATAAAATTACTATGCATCTTATCGAAGTGACGTTTTGAGGAACGTGATTCATCAGTCGTTCGTATTGTATAGTTAATATGCGAGTGATATCCGTCTTCTGCTTATGATTGTGTTTGGCTATTTAGCTACTTACTAAGTTAAATTCATAGAGTACTTTAATTCTATATTTCAAAAAAGGAGTTTCTTTGGAAATTGCATTTTTTTTTTGTCAGGGGTAAATCATCAAATGACTTCTCCCGCCCTGGGTAAGGCGAGAGACAGTGTCAGACTCTTACTGACTTACATACTTCATTGTTTCATTGTTTCATTGTTTCACCGTCCGCAGACCCGCGCTTACGGTGGCCGGAGATCATCTCTCGTGAAAATTGCATCATGTGACGACATATGATGCGATTCCTTTTGCATGTTCCTGAGTGCTATAGGCTATAAAATATTACGCTAAGATCAAATGGATCAGAGCAGCGGGTGAAACCGCACAAGAGTAGCTAATTTTATTATAATACTAGAGGGCCGCCCCTGCTTCGCACACGTATTCGACTGATCGTGACGTAGCGTAATGCACAGTGTCAGTCATTTGTTACTAGCGGTCGCCTGCGGCTCCGCCCGCGTAGATGCCGAATTTACACTATATCCAGATTAAAAAAAAAATCTCTTCGTACAAACCTTTTCTGGACTTCCACAAATAATTCAAGATAAAAATTAGCCAAATCGGTGAAGGTATTGTTGAGTTAGAACATTACAACGAAAACTGGCATTGATTTTTATATATAACTAGCTCCCACCCGCGGCGTCGCTCCCGTCATTTGATTACCTACTACCCTACTCTACCTACCCTACTCTACCTACTCTACCTACCCAACTCTACCTACCCTACTCTACCTACTCTACCTACCCAACTCTACCTACCCTACTCCACCTGCTATATCCTATGTCCTTCTCCCAGTTCTTAGCTAGCTCCCTACGAATTTTCAGCTAAATCGGTTCAGCCGTTCTTGAGTTATAGATATGTAGTGTAACTAACACGACTTTATTTTATATAATAGTGATATGATATATGTAGTGATATAGATTTTCTATTCCAGTATACGGCAGGTACCTTGACGTGAGAGCGTCAGATTTTGCGGCGGTTCAGGTGGATGGTGCGTATAGAACGGTATGGGACGCCGCGGTAGCTGCCTTGGCGGTCGTCGAGCGCAAAGCTAATGGACTGGCTGACCAGGCTGTACTGCATTGGGAAGTTTTATGGCCGGTGAGTTCTTTATTATTATTTTTTATGTATTAGGTCGCCAAACGAGCAGACGGATTACCTGATGGTAAGCAATCAACGCCGCCCATGGACATCCGCAACGGAGGAGTCACGAGTACGTTGCCGACTTTTTAGGGATTAGGAGATTTTGGAATTGGGTGAGGGGAAGGTAACCTCACTCACACAGCGAAATACAACGCCTTGTGGTTGTTTCACGCCGGTTTTCTGTGAGGCCGTGGTATTACTCCGGTCAAGCCGACCCATTCGTGCCGAAGCTTGGCTCTCCCACACTTTCTACGGTAATATACAACTCGTACTTACTGGGTGTAATGGCCCACAGATTAAGGCGTCCGCTTCTCATACATGAGAATTCGTGTCCGAGACTTGGCAAGTACCATGACATCTTGCGAGTTATATGTACTTTCTATGATTATTTAGACACCACTGAGAGAATCGATAGTTTTTTACGAATAATTGTTATTTCTATTCTCTTAAAGAATTTAAGTACTTTTTTTTTTTAAAACGAAATGCCCCACATTATTATTTTCTCCTGTGTGTTGAGTGCTGTAACAAACATGGAAATGACATCGAGACCCGGAACGAACATTTGTGGATAACACAAAAAGATGTTCCGTGCTGGAATCGAACTCGCTACACGTTGCACGGCAGCCAATTGCCCAGCCACCGCACAAACCGTGCAGTCAAACTACTATATGTATTTAGTACTGTTCTGGCAAAACATGTTAGCACTTATAATTGCGTAGTTTCCTAGGTCAAAAATAAATTAATTCGACGTCAAATCAAATCAAATCAAATCAAATTCTTTATTTCAAATAGACCAAAAAAGGCACTTTTGAACGTCAAGCAAAAAAGATATCATAAGGTTTAACTTTATGTGTCAGTCTGTCCGTCTGTCCTCTAGTGAAGCTATTTGCTCGTTCCAAAGTGTAGATTCCTATGGAGAAGAACGAGCAAGAAACTCCATGGTTACTCTTTTTCAATCACTTTTTACAATACATTGTTACATAATTTAGATAGCTCCATTATGTGAGAACAGTGTAACACTAGTGTTTAACCAAAGTATCCGAAAAAGAAATAACCCTCAGGGACAGCAACTTTAGACAGTCTCGAGTTGACCAGTCCCAATAGGCGGCGTCCGTTCACGAACATGACACGTACACCAGCACCGCCCAACTCAACCATATTATAGGGAACCGAGCGGTCCAGTGCCCGTGCCACCGCCAATGAGACTCCTGAGTGAGCATGACAACTCCCAACTGACACAAGTACCAATATACTATAAGTCTATAAGTCTAACTCAATTATAATAAGTTACAGGGCTCTCACATTTACAAAAATCCAGTTTATCAACAATCAACAACATGGTGAATAATTTAATAATTGAGATCAAAATTCCTCTTAACCTTAACAATTTTTATCCTGTGCAGTCAAACCAGCCACCCTCCAAGCATTTTTATCTTCTATATAATCATTTAGTTTGTAGTATGCTTTCCTACATAATACTTTCTTTATACATAATTTAAATTTACTTTCATTAAGATTTTGTATTTCAGTTGGGATTTTATTATAACATTTAACACATAATCCCATGAACGACTTATGCACTTTTGCTAATCTAAATAAAGGCTGACTTAATCTATTTCTATGTCTAGTAAGATAGTCATGCTTGTCAGATACTTTTACAAATAGCTGTAGGTTTTTCCTAACATACATAATGTTTTCATAAATATATTGACATGGTACGGTCATAATGTTGATCTCCTTAAACTTTTCTCTGAGAGATTCGCGACGACCTAAGTTATAGATAGCTCTGACTGCACGCTTTTGTAAGATAAAGATAGACTCAACGTCGGATGCCTGTCCCCACAACAGAATTCCATACGACATGATGCTGTGAAAGTAGCTAAAGTACACTAGTCGTGCCGTGCCTACGTCGGTTAGCTGACGGATCTTCCAGACAGCATAAGCTGCCGAGCTCAACCGCCCTGCTAGAGATCTAATGTGGGGCCCCCATTGCAGCTTGTCGTCTACAGTAATCCCCAAGAATGTGGTCTCCTTTACAAATTCCAGTTTCTGACCATTTAATAATATATCGTCGCATACGTTACTTTTAACATTTGGCAAAATAAATCTAATACATTTCGTCTTTTTATCATTAAGTACTAAGTTGTTTTTTGTGAACCAATTATGAACTTTCGTTAAGGCATTATTCACTTCGTCATAGTTATTTGATCGTCTATTTAATTTAAAAATCAAGGATGTGTCATCAGCGAATAATACCATATGCGGTTCACTTTGGAATAAATGGGGCAGGTCATTGACATAAACCAAAAATAGGAATGGACCCAATATTGAGCCCTGCGGTACGCCCATAGATACGCTAGCACCCTGGGAGTTTACTCTGTTTACTTGTACTGTAAGAAGTCTTTCTAGAAGGTATGATTTTAATAAATTTAGGGATACCCCCCGAATGCCGTAGTGTTGCAGCTTCAGTAATAGCGTTTCGTGCTCAACACAGTCAAAAGCCTTCGAAAGATCGCAAAATATTCCGATGGCATCCTGTGCTTTTTCCCACGATTTGAAAACTTGTTTTATAAGCGATACTCCTGCGTCCGTAGTGCAACGTCCCTTAGTGAACCCGTATTGTTGGTCATGGAAAATAGAATTCGCGTTAAAGTGACGCAGTATTTGAGTAAGTATCAACTTTTCAAACACTTTACTGAGCACTGGCAAAATAGAGACCGGCCTATAGTTATTGCGTTCTGTGCTATCACCTGATTTAAGTAATGGAACTACTTTACTATGTTTCATTAAATCCGGGAAAACCCCTTGATCTACACTTTTATTAAAAATTAAAGTTAAGTAAGGCGCTATAGTCTCTATAAAAGACCTGCACACTCTAACAGACATTCCCCAGAGATCTTCACTGGACTTTACTCTGATATCTTTAAACGCCTTTATTACTTCCTGGGGGTTTGTATGTTTAAACCTAAAGTCCGCAGGACATTCTTTGACGTTACTTCTGAGAAGCTCGACCGCAAGTGCTGGAGATGATTGCAACGTTTCCGTAGTTTTGATGGGAATATTTTTAAAGAAATTTTCGAATTCCTGGGCAACTAATGAATTTGTACTAGTAAATCCCTTTTCGGTTTTTAAATTAAATTCTGTCTTATTAGATTTGTTTCTACCTGTTTCATTATTAATTATACTCCAGGTAGCTTTTATTTTATTTTCCGCGGTCCGGATTTTACTGCTAATATAGAGTGATTTAGCATGCTTACAAACTAATTTAAATATTTTTGAATATTTGGAGACATGCCTACGAAAAGCCTCACTTTTATTAAATGGTTTCATGCCATATAGCTCAAATAACTTTTCTCTACTTATACGAATGCCTGGTGTAGCCCAGTCACAGAATAAAAATTTACACTGGATATTTTTACGTTTTAAAGGGAACATTTTGTCGAACTGTATTTTTATGATGGATAATAAGTTAGCATAGATCTCACTCGGGCATTCATTGTCTTGTAATGGGCTGCATAATTTATGTTTTAAATTTTTATTTAATGACTCAATTTTTTTGTTTGTTATCTGTCTGAATATAATTTCCTTAGTTGCCACAGTTTTAAAAGTATTAAAGTTGACTGTTAGCCCACTGTGATCAGATGGTAATCTGTTTACAATTTCATTATGTAAATAATCACAGTTACAAAAAATATTATCTATACAAGTTGCCGAGGTGGATGTTACTCGGGTAGGCTCAAGGAATATATTAGACAGATCAAAAGATTTAAAAAGACCTAATAAGTTTGTACAATAAGAGTTGTTTTCTAAGAGATCAACATTAAAATCGCCACATACTATTGTATACTTATTACTAGAACACGTTTTCTGTAATACATCTTCCATTACTGAGCAAAATATATTTAAATTCTGTATGTTAGGAGGCCTATAAACACATACTACAATATGCCTATCCAGTTCAACACAGGACAACTCTATTGAGTGCTCAATTGATAGCAGTGCAATGTCTTGCCTTTCTTTATATTTTATTGAATTCTTTACTAAAATCAAGCTACCACCATGTATCATTTCTTTGCGGCTATAATAGTTGCCAACACAATAATTTTTGAAGTTAATTGATTCTACTTGATAATCTTTTAACCAATGTTCAGTTATACAAATAATGTCATATTGGAACTTTTCTAAAAACAATTCAATTTGTAGGATTTTTGATGCTAAGCCCTGAACATTTTGACTATACAATGACAACAGGTTATCTGTTTTATTTTTCAATTTAAGTTTATGCTTAACAATATTGCCAGAAGAAACCTTTTTAATGATAGGGGTTTTTGAGTAATTTAATTGGTTATCTTCTGTTGTCGTGGAAGTCAGTTTAAAAGATTACTATCCGGAGTACTATCCATATTTATAACTAAATGTGGAGCCTCCTTCGTGCTATTATATGTACAATTAATCTCTATATTGTTAGATTGTCTAATCAATATAGATTTGTCACTAAAACTACTTATTAATAAATTAATACTATTTGCTAGCAAACTAGCAATTAATAATTTACATTTCCTGGGAATATACATATAATCCCGGGTCAACTTGAAACCACTAACAAATTTGTTAGTGTCAAAAAATGATAATTTGTCACTATGACAGCAGGTCAGAAAAAATATTAAATTGTTTAGATTATGAATTTTACTATTTTGCATTTTTGACAGAGTGTCAGCATATGGGAATGCACATAATACTATCTTCCCTGTATTTAATTTCAATAAGGTGTTGATACCATCACTTATATCCCGCTTGTTTACCCCTGTACTATCACCCATTAATATTACTATTGGCTGATTTTCTGCTAATTGTTTCTGTGATATTTTTTCTATCATATGGCCAAATTTTATATTATGATAACAGTAATTTGTTACCCTGTATTTAAGACAATTAGCGATAAGTGACCCAAAACCTGCACCCACTGAGTCTGTAAACACACCAGCGTTGTAGGTAACAACTGGTTGACTCCCTGTTTGTGGCCCCGGAGCAAGTTCTGGCTCAAAGGGTGGAGTGAGGGCACAGCTACATGAAAGGTTATTTGCAAGAGACTCATATCTCTCAGCACTAAAAGTAACTAAATCCACAAGTTTTCCTGCCTCAATCATGTGTTTGTTGAGTTGTGATTGGGCAGATTCATATTTTTGGAACATATCATTTAAGAACATTTCACGTTGTAAAAGTTCTTGTTGAAGAGCCTGAATGTCTTTGTCATATATGACCCTACATTGTTCTAAATCACTTTTGCATGATTTAAGTTCCTGAGTTACATTTAATTTTTGTTTTCTTAAATAGACATTCGTTTTAGACAGATTTTGCTTCTTTTTGAGTTTTTTAATTGTTTTATTTAGTTTTATATATTTTTTTATTTTATTGTGGCTATTCAGGACAGGGCAAGCAGTAATGGTATCATCACCGGTTAAGTCTATTGTGACTGCTGGTTCACAGATGTCACCAGATTCACTACCCACCAATTCTTCATACAAACTCTGAGTGTTGACCGACAACACAGATTTTTTGGAGGCCTCTAAGTTATTAATTATATTTTGTGCTTCTCTGAGGTCATGCTCCAGATGTGTTATACGTTTAAGAGCATCTTCATGTGTGTCAGTACACTGCTGAAAAGTATCAACTTGTTTTATTAAGTGGTTGTGTTGATCTATTAGGTCCATGTGACATGAGTGAAGTTCAGCTAATTCATATTTGAGTTGTGTGTTTTTGTTAACAATATTTTTAACTTCAATTTCACTGTCGTCACGCTCCTGCAGCAGTTGGTCGCACAGGTGCTTGGATGACTCCAGTTCTTTAAGTGCCGCCCTCAGTTTGATCTCCATCTCCTTAGACCGAGTCATCATACTGAAACGTATGAAGGGATGATCCTCTGAAATATAGGAGAAAAAAAAAAGAACAGCAAATGGACAGAGAAATTTGTTTGTAAGCTAGGTGGACTTGTGTAAATGAAATAATCTATAAGATATTAAGAAAAGAACAAGAGAAAAGGGTGAATAATAGCTTTAACTTGTTCAGTATGATGAAACTAATAAATTGATGATTACAATTTCTGGTATGCAGGTAGATGAAAAATAAAGTAATTGTATTTTAAACTACTTATTAATTTTCTTAAGCTTAAATAATAATAAAAAAATACTTTATAACACAAAAGTACACTACGAATTGGGCTTATTTTAATTAATAACAGTCATATAAAGCATTTTGTTACGTTTCTAAAAAAAATTATTCGTTGTAGTGTTTCAATAACAAATTATCATCCAAACTGAGAACAACGTGTTACTTTAATCAAAACTGGAGCGTGTCTGTAATTGTGTATTGATGAAAAACAATAATTTTCACTTATACTCCCCTGGTTTATAGTTTTAAATTGAACTTTAGCTCCGTCCGTTAACCACTGACAGCTCGCAGGAACTTTTCAATTTTGCACTTAATTCTTTTAAATATCACTGGGCCTACAATGCCTCTGGTGTTTTTACAAGTATTTTTACAAATAAATTGCTATTTATAGCAATAAAATCACTTAAATCTAATTTTAAAAATAAATTTAACTATGAGGTCGTATTTTGACGACCGATCACCAGTCCAGTCCAGTCCAGTCAGACGTTTCAATACAATAAAATATTGAGAAATAACTATACTTTTATTCATCGATCGATCGATCCATACATTAAGTTTTTGATATTTTGTAGCTAAGTAATTTTTAAGAAATAAGTAAGCTATATGACGCAAAAGTACTATGACGTCATAACTCAGTTTTTCATACAAATTTCATAGAAAAGTATCGTTTTTGACATTTGGATAAAAGTATTGAATTTGACTAGTTGGAAACTACCGGATTAATTAATATTACACCATTTATACCATATTTTATACAAATAAATAATAATTTAATTTATTTATAAAAAAATGTTTATTTCCAGAGACTATTCGCAAACAGAGATTACGTATACATAAGAAGGCACAAAGAATTCGACGTCGCAACACAAAGTCTACCGCACAAAGACGGACTATTCCGGGCGTCACAATGCACAGCTCGAAAAGAGACGGTGTACTCCGAAAGACCGAGTGTACACTCCAAAGCGAAACGGAAAGCTATGGAAGCCTCAAATAGGGAAAGGGATGGAGAGATGTGTGATAATAAAGTATATGTTATCATGTCGCGGTCCTGTGAACATCCAAAAGTTCCGGAGTCCAAACATGCTATAAGAGTCTCCGAATATTGGAGCCATATGGTCGTTAAGACCCTTAACGGACCTGATAAGGTAAATCATATTGATCTATTATCTATACTAATATTATAAAGAGGTAAAATTTGTAAGTTTGTATGTAGGGGGTAATCTTTGGAACAGCTGTTCGGATTGCCAAAATTCTTTCACTGATAGATAGCTACAGATAATGTCGTGGTGGCCCAGAGCTTAAGGCGCCTACTTCTCATGCATGTGGACACCCACATGCATGAGAAGATGGGTTTGAAGTTTGGGTTCGAAACCTGGCAAGTACCAATGTGACTATTTCCGTGTTATATGTACTTTCTATGATTATTTAGATACCACTGACATACGGTGAAGGTAAACATCGTGAGGAAACTTGGACTTATAATTTCTTATTATAAGTTTGAAATCGCCAACCCGCATTGAGCAAGCCTGGTGAATAATGCTCTAACCTTCTCCGTATGAGAAGAGGCCTTTGCTCAGCAGTGGGCACTTATAGGCTGATGATGATGATGATGATGAAGCCAATCTGTGCTATAAAAATCTTGTGTTGTCTTCAGGCGGGCATGGAATTCGTGCTAACTTACTATGATGAGCCGGCAGTGGGGGGTATGCCCACCACGGTGGCTGCCTGGGCAACTGGCCGGGCAGCCCCTGCCTACCTCCAGCGTATGCGTAGAGCTGCCTGCGACTACAGAGCTTGGAGACGAAATCGACATCAAGAGGTAAGTTTTATTTTATTTTTATTAAAAACTTCATGACAGCCAAAAATTTGGTAGTTTCCTAGGTCAAAAATAAATTAATTCGACGTGTCAATAAAATAACATATTGATAAATAACTATACTTTTATTCATCGATCGATCGATACACTGAATTTTAGATATTTTTTAGCTAATTATTAAGAAATAAGTAAGCTATTTGACGCAAAAATACTATGACGTCATAACTCAGTTTTTCATACAAATTTCATTGAAAAGTTTTTGACGTGACTGGTTGAAAACAACAACGTATTGTGCACAAGCCGGACTTAATGCAATGAGCATTGTCTTCCAGTCTACCTTAAGGTGATGCAGAGACACGGCAGTGGTAAATGCAAGAAGCAAGCTAGATGATGATGATGTACATGGTGTGGCTATACCGTTAACCTGTGTGTATGTGAAATTGTATGTTTGCCTTTGAGGGTAGAAAATTATTAAATTACTTCTCTCGCCCAGGTTGAGGAGTGGCAGACATATATTGACTAAGCCCCCCCTCTCTTTTTCTTCTCCTGTTCTAGGCCGGATCCCTGGTACCTTATTGCGCTTACCCCGCAACCCCGGCTGAACATCAGCTCTATAGGGCCCCGTCTGTGGTGGTCTATTGGCTCTTTGAGGCGCGCGTGGAACTCTTTACACCGTATGCTTGGGTCTGGTTCTTGTCGGGCGGCGAGCTGTCCTTACTCGCCATCCGCAGACCCGTGCTTACGGTGGCCGGAGATGTCTGCCGGTTTCTTTCTATACAATTTTCCGATATTTTTATGATTCTTATATTTTTTGTACTATTCCAGGACTTGCCAGAGTTTATACCCTTCGCCAAAGACTCGGAGCCCTGTGAGGAGGATTCCTCGACGTTCGTCAACGAGGAAGACATGGAGGTGGGCTAAAATGAACCTTAATACCATGTTTATAAATTTCATTTTAACTAAGTTAATTATATTTGACTATAAACTAGTCGCCTGATAGCAAGCAATCGGCTTTTGATACCCACGCCACCAGAGATGTAATAATTGCGTTGCCTTCTTTTTGGGACTGGTCAGCGTCAGACTGTCTAAATATATTGTCCCTAAGGTTATTTTCTTTTTCCGTTTGTTTAATTAAATATTAGCGTTACACTGTTCTCACATAATTGAACCAACTGTTTGTATAAGGGGTCTGTATGTAAAACTGATTTAAAAAGAGTAACCATGGAGTTTCTTACTCGTTCTTCTCCATCGGAATCTACACTTTGGAACGAGCAAATAGATTCACTAAGAAGATTGACCAATAGACTGAACATTTATCTTATAATCATGGTTTGACGTTCAAAAGTGCCTATTTTAGTATAAGTGAAATAAATTATTGACTTTGACTTTGAAGGGTCTCTGGCAAGCCTTTGATATGAAAGAAAGAAAGAAAAAGTATTTATTCGCGTCTATTACGCACATAAGACACAAAATAAAACAAGTGTATAAACACCGTGTTTGGCTGTACGGTTGGTGCGGTGGCTGGGCAACTGGCTGCCGTGCAACGTGTCGCGGGTTCGATTCCCGCACGGAACAACTCTTTGTGTGATCCACAAATTGTTGTTCCGGGTCTGGGTGTCATGTGTATGTGAAATTGTATGTTTGTAACCGCACCCACGACACAGGAGAAAATCCTAATGTGGGGCAACGTTTTTTTATAAACTAAAAAACTAAAAAAAAAAAAAAACATGAAACAAAAAAAACATGGTTATACAATTATACAAGGTAAATACATTTTAATAAAATTTATAATTTTTCAGTCATCTCAAATGGGTCCGGAGTTAGAACGATCAGATTGTACAAGAGATCAGAGCACACAGACGGATGTAGTCGCCACGCTACCACACCAGTCCGAAGCCAAGGTCACGCAGCTCTCCGGGAAGGGTAAAAAGAATGACGAAAATAAACCTCAAGATGTACAAAATGTAAGGAAAATATTAATTAAATAAATGGTCAATTCGAACTAGTAGTTTCAGAGTTAAACGCGTACAAACAAAAAAGTTTGTCAGCGTAATATAGACAGTGTACAATCTCGAAAACATACTTAACTACTTGCGGAATCTATGATGAATTAAAAAAAAATAAGTAAATAGATAATTTAATAAATAAATTAATAAAATAATTTATAAATTAAAAAGATTTTTGATTTTTGATGATCATTTATAAATTTTCGAAATTATTATTATTATTCGAAATCTTATGTCCGTATAATGTTTTTTCAGGAGACACAACCAATATCCTCCGAACCCGAGCCTACTAAGGAAGAGGAGGAGCCCAAAACCGGTGGGTGGTGGCGCTACTTGTATCCATTCTATTATTTCGTTTGAAATCGTAGTACAAACGATGTCAGAGACTACTAACTGACCGATGACCCGGTAGGTCATCGGTCAGTTTTGCCGATTGTACTTTTTATTGTGACGATAATAATGATATAATAAAAATAATGATACAATTAAAGAAAGATAATTCTAATGAGGTTACATCATCAGGATAAAAGTGTCCACTGGTGAGCAAAGGCCTCTTCTCACACGGGGAAGGTTTGAGCAAACACAAAGCTTCCTGAAGGCGGATTGGCGATTTCAAACTTAAATTAAAAATTATAAGTCCAGCTTCCTTGTCAGTGTCTTTCTAAGTCATCGCTGACATACTTCACGTATCATACCGCACATCGTGAGCAAACATGGACTTAAAATTTATAATTTTAAGGTTGTAATCGCCAATTCGCCTTAAGCATGCGTTGTGGTTATCCTGCGAGCGTAGATATACGCGAAACACAATGTGTTTTATATTGGCAGACTAGAGGTTAATACTCAAACCTTCTTCGTGTGAGAAGAGGTCTTTGCTCAGCAGTGGACACTTATAGGCTGATGATGATGTTGTATCTCTTGAAGAGTAAGAGAAATGACAGCATTTCGAGTGTATTTGTTAAAAACAAAATACAAGATTTCCTATTTATAATGTTAATATTACATATTTAAAGTATAAAGTTCCTAGCAAAGTAGCTGAATAAACGAAAAGTACAATCGACAAATTAAACGATGACCAACTGATATAAAAATAAAATTATGATAAATCATAAGTGTGTTATGTTATTTCGTAACACTTTTAAGACCTTGTATTAAGGTTTATTTTCGTCTAAACAACTGATGAGTTTAGTCTCTTATGTCGCTTGTACATTTATAGACAAATCTATCTTCTTTATACTGTCTGCTAATGCAATATTAACCTTATTTCTTGAGCAATACAGTGCATTTTGAAGCACTTAAATACTAATCTAATGACGATGTCAAAATGTAGTACTTTTAAGTGTTGTAATTACTATGTATAATAAGTTCTAAATAATTATTAAAATTTAAACGCTGTTTCACATGTTTCGAGGTCGACCGAATACTTTCGAACCTTACGGGGGCTGATAGCTCAATCGAAAATTAAATATTATTATAAGAACTATAGTTTGGTACAAATTTATGGTTGCGCGACTATCGCGTTATATGGTTGCCGGCAACTAATTAGTTGGGCGACAAAGTTGAAAGCAGGCTTAAGAGATAGGGTGTTACTTCTTTATCTGAAGTCTACACAGTTATTAATTACGCAAATGAGAAAATAAAAATTGATTCAGTACAAAGAAATTAACAATTTTAAAGTGCCCACTGCTGAGCAAAAGTCCCTTCTCACACGAAGAAGGTTAGAGCATTAATCATAAATAATTAAGTGTGGGAGAGCCATGCTTCCGCACGAATGGGTCGGCTCGACCGGAGTGATACCACGGCCTCACAGAAAACCAGCGTGAAACAACCACAGCGTTGTGTTTCGCCGTGTGAGCGATGTTACCGGAGGCTCAATCCTTCCCCTCCCCCAATCCCTAAATTCCTAAAAGGTCGGCAACGCACTCGTAACTCCTCTGTTGTTTTGTTGCGGCGCTGATTGCTTACCATCAGGTAATCCGTCTGCTCGTTTGCCGACATAAAAAACACGCTTGCTCAAGGGGGATCGAGCTTAATATTGAACCGCGGCTTCGTCCTGGAACTGCGAAAGAGACGGGATGGTTTTTAGTCAGTAAGAGTCTGACACTCCCTCAGAAATCAAGAGAGAGATAAGATTTTTACATTTAAACATAATTTAGTGTATCTAGTTTAGTGTAATCAACTACTTTCCCTGTACTGGATCAATTTCTATTTTCCTATTGTCATGTGTAGATCGTTCATCTTTTATATATAAGCTTAGCTTATTGGCTGGGTCTTCGAGTTTTATATATTACTAGCAGACCCAGCCACTCGTTGCTGTGGCTAAGGTTCTTGTCATATTACATAATAATATGGACAAATAATTTGCAATAAAACAATATTGTGACTATAAATTGAGATGTAAGCTATCCTATCTTTCAAGTTGGATGAAAATGCACACGGAATGCAAATCAAATTTAAAATCGGTTTAGTAGTTTAGGAGTTCATCGCGGACACGAAATTTTTATATATAAAAAATGTTCCTATCGTGTCCAAAATAGGCTTGCCGCCTATTTCATAAAGTAACTGGTAAAATAGACCCTTGATAATTAAAAGGCGATGTGTAATATACGGCTATAGGCTATATTTAAGATTAAAAACATAGATTATAATGTCACTGCCCTGCAGATTGGTAAAGGTTGCTAGCGCATGAATGTTGGTAGGTTGGTAGGTTGGTAGGAAATATTGGTAAGTGTGGGAGAGCCATGCTTCGGCACGAATGGGTCGGCTCGACCGGAGTGATACCACGGCCTCACAGAAAACCGGCGTGAAAAAACCACAGCGTTGTGTTTCGCCGTCTGAGTGAGGTTACCGGAGGCCCAATCCCACCCACTCCCCCATTCCTAAAGGCCCACAACGCACTCGTAATTCCTTTGGTGTTGCGAGTGTTCTTGAGCGGTGCTGATTGCTTACCATCAGGTAATCCGTGCTCGTTTGCCGACCTATTCCATAAGAAAAAGGAATTAAAATATTGATTCTCTAGCCGGTAAATGTGTTAGTGTGTTTTTTGAAAAAAAAAATGTCAGTAACTGCGCGGTTGGAGTCCAGTTTGACGGTAGTCAGGTTTTCAGAACACGGTTTTATATGTAAACTTTTAAATCTAAAAAAAGGTTAAAAAAGTTTAATTAAAATTGATTCAGGAGTATTCATGGCTTTTGAATGTTTTTAAATGTTCTTAACAAAAATATATTTAGGTATTATTAAAGAAATCGTAGAAGTTCAATTATTAAATTAAAATATAATAGAGTAATGAATTCGATTTTTATATTAGGAATTGATTATTAATATGCCGCTTGTAAATACTGATTGTAATGATAAAAAAGTACGGTACTCGGGCGCGTTATTCGATTTCAAGAAGTCTAAGAAAGAAAGAAAAAGAGACTCGGTCAGATTCAGTAGTGTTTTTTCTTTACAAAATCTCCCTCCTCTCAAATCCTCTCTGATGTGTAGAGTGTATGGTTTGTCCGTTCAAGTAAATAACTAAATGTGAACAATCTTGGCGTGTCTTTTTTTTCTAAAATTTGTACGTAAAAATGTTTATTTTATACGACCTCTTTAATACAAAAATATACTAGCTTCCGCCCGCAGCTTTGTACGCGTGGTATGTTGATAAAAAGTAGCCTTTCTCTCTCTGCCCTATTCCGGAGTGTATCCTATGCCTGTGCCAAATTTCATCCAGATCCGTCCAGCCGTTTTGGCGTGGTTGAGTAACAAACATCCAAACATCGTAACTTTCGCATTTATAATATTAGTTAGGAACCAAGATTCTTTACCTCTAGTTAATACCCGATGAATACCCGACATATATTATACTAGCTACTCTCGCGCGGTTTCACCCGCTGCTCAGCTCCATTTGATCGTAGCGTGATGTTTTATAGCCTATAACACTCCGGAACATTGTAGCTATCTATCAGTGAAAGAAATTTGGGAATACGACCAGCAGTTCCAAAGATTACCCTCTACATACAAACTTACAAATTTTGCCTCTTTATAATATTAGTATAGATTTAGTATATAGCACAAAAACCAAAGAATTTTAAGTTACGGAACTTACGATAGCAAAAAAACAATGCAATATAGTTTTTATTTTCTTATCATTTAGGATCAATTTATGCGAGCACAAAGTCGAATCGAAAATCCATATAAATAAAGAAGCATGCTTTCGGGTCTTTGTAATAAGGTTGAATTTGCTATAATCTTGATTGGATTTTCCTTTAAACGCTTTTTAACTCTACGGGGTTGATCTTTAGGGTGCTTTTACGATGACAGAGAGCGTTTTGCGGCGTCTTTGTCGTTGACTAAAATACGAAAATCAAGTATAATTTATAGCCTATAGCACTCGGGAATATTGTAGCTATATATCAGTGAAAGAATTTTGGAAATCCGACCACCGGTTCCAAAGATTACCCTACCTACAAACTTTAAAATTTTACCTCTTTATAATATTAGTATAGATCATAAACTGTCACTCTGCATAAGCAGATTTCTAGGAACAGTACTGAATTATTTTTTTAAATACATTTATTAAGTTATACAGATTAAAAACATTTATTTATATTAACGTCAAACGATGCATTAGATTAATTTTAGATGTTTTATTATTATTATAATGTAAACAGCGATGCTGGTGAAGAAAAAAAAGTGTATAAAAAATGTTAAAATTTAAGATATTCTATTAAAAAAAAATGTGGTAGATGAATTGTTAATATTATATGTATGTAAGTTGTTAATATAAGTTATATATATATATATATTTTGTAAAATTAATTTATGTAAGTAATATGTAAGTACTAGCGATCGATCCTTGAGTTTCCCGCTGATTTTCTTTTCACACAAACCTTTATATTCTAACCATAGTGAAAGCAACAATATATTTTTATAATAACTATCGTGAGACATACTAAATTAACTAAAAATCGCAGGTTATTCACGTGTGTAATTGAGAAAAGCTCGACTAGTTTCGAACCACAGAGGGGTTCTTCCTCATGAGCAGCGTGCGGGGACGCGGCGACGTCGCGCAGCCTACTGTTAGGTAACTAATAGAGCTTTTATCAATTACACACGTGAGTTACCCGCGATTTGAAGCTAGTAAAGTAACAATAAACGCACTGACTTTATAACCGACTAGCTACCGCCCGCGGCCCCCCATGGTATGTTGGCAAAAAAGTAGACTTCGTGTAACCTATCTGCATACCAAATATCAAACAAATCGGACCATCCGTTTATGCGTGAAATAATAACAAACTTACATTCTTACATTCTCAGAAAATACACATTTATTATAATATTAGTAGAATAAACTTGAACTCTCCAATCAGTGTAGCTGATAAAAAAAATTGTTTTCCATCGCACAAACACTTAGATTTTTTTTTGGGTAGTATGAATTCCTAGTTCCAAAATCAACTTGGGGTTCATTATATAAAAGAATATATAATATTACCAGCTACTCTCGCGCGGTTTCACCCGCTGCTCGGCTCCGTTTGATCGTAGCGTGATGTTTTATAGACTATATATAGCACTCAGGAACATTGTAGCTATCTACCAGTGAAAGAATTTTGGCAATCCGACCAGCGGTTCAAAAGATTACCCCCTACATACTAACTTACAAATTTTACCTCTTTAGAATATTTGTATAGATATTAAAATCAATGCCACTTTTCGCTGTACCTAATGTTATTACTCAACAACGTCTTTACCGATTTGGCTAATTTTGGTCTTGAATTATTCGTCCAAGTCCAGGGAAGGTTTGAAAGGTCAGAGAACTTAAGTTAATTTTGAGGCGGAACGTAGTTTGTCAGGTATTATAAGTTTGGCATTATATTCATAAGTCTGCATTGATTCTAATCATATGAATGTTTTTCATTATTTAAATTATATCTGTCTTTCACTGACCTGTGATCTAAAAGCTATCAAAGTTTTTACCCCCAACTCGTGACAAGAAAATGAAGTTTTTGAAATAATAATATCCCCCTCCCCCTCATCCATATTATGGATCCTATGGAGAAAAACAAGCAATATTTTTTTCTTTTTTAACACTACTAACTTTAACTGCATATCCTTACTTAACTAACAACATCAAATTATATGACTTGCATGTAACTAATTCAAGTAAGATGCTCGACTATTTTCAAGTCATAACTGGAGCTTGTGACTTGAAACTGGTCGAGCGTCCTCGAAGGTTTAGGTACAAGAACGAAAATAAGAATTGATTTGCAGACACAGTTACTATTTTTTTGTTGGATATTACAATTTTCTTAGTACTTACAATTGGTTACAACCAATGGTCTTTATGTAATAGGATGACAGGCAAATGAGCAGACGGATTACCTGATGGTAAGCAATTAGCGCCGCCCATGGACACCTACAACAAGGGGAAAGCTCACTCACACGGCGAAACAACGCTATGGTGGTTTCACGCCGGTTTTCTGCAAGGCAGTGGTATTACTCCGGTCGAGCTGACTCATTCGTACCGAAGCTTGGCTCTGCCTCAAAATTTCTTTTGAGCTTTCTTATCTTTCATATAATGTAGTGTAATAATAGTCACTGTCTCTGTGCTATATCAAGGTTTATTTTCTTTCCTGCATACCAAATAACAGGGGTGTTATGGATACGAACTTTCGAATACAGATATTGAATTGTTTATTATACCGGATACTTGACATTATTCCAGATTATCCGTAAGTTGCGGATAATAAAATGAAGCAAATAGGCTCCGTCCCTATCCAATGTTATCCATAACTATTATATCGGATTCGGTTACGGTTATAGATATTATTTAATACCGGATCCGATAATTTCGGTTAAAGTTTCGAAGCTCCCTAACATCCCTACCAAATATCTGTTTAGACTACTCCATGTAAGTAGTACTTGTAGTAATATTTTAACGAAACCTCTGTCCTTAGGGTGATAAAGGAGATCCAGCATGCCATAATTCACGAACCCCGCTACCCAGGATATGATCGACAAAAAAAAACACATTTTTGTAAACGCATATTTTGTCATAACAATTTTTGAATTGAAACGGTGCAATGCAATATGAAATGCATTATTTTATTGTATGTATATAGTTGTATGTATAGACGTGTTGAATTGTAATCTGTTATTTGGTTAGTAAATAACTTTTTAAACATTTGCGTTTTATTTCGTCGTTATCATGGTGTGTGAACCTTTTTTGTGATGGGAGAATCATCAAACAGCTTTTCTCGCCGAAGTTGAGGCGAGAGGGCATGTCAGACTCTTACTGACTAAAAACCCCCTCCGTTCCTTCTCCTGCTCTGGTCCGAGGTCGCGGTGCCTTGTTGCGCTTACACCGCATACCAGCTGAACATCACCTCTAATAGGGCCCTGTCTGTGGTGGTCTATTGGCTCTTTGAGACGCGCGCGAAACGCAACGCGTCGTGCGCCTAGGATCTGTTTTCTACCTGGATGTGCTTCTTTAGTAAGCGTGTTTTTCGCCTGATGGGAAGCAACACTGTCGTTGGACACCCTTAACGCTAGGTTTTTCATGTGCGTCATTTTTTATGTAAGTAATAAGAACAAACTAGCAAACGAGCAGGCAGATCATCTGATTAATCAGCGCCGCCCATGGACATCCAACAACACCAGAGGAGTCAGTCGCGTTGCCGGCCATTTAAGGAGTACGCGCTAGCGATGGGCCGAGTCGTCTTTTTGATAACTCGAGTTGACCCGATAACCAACTCGGGCTGCAACCCGAGTTGACTCGACCCGATCTGCCATAAGATACGTCGCGTCCTTCGCCGCGTTGTCCGGGTTGTCCGTTCGAGTCAGTAAACGCTCGACTCGGTACATCGTTCTGCGGGTTGCTAGTTTGCTTGTCGAGCCCGACGGGCTGTGTGGGGTCGAGTCCATGCTAATGATAGTCAAATAAAATAAGTTTGTCAAAAAATCAGACTTTAATGTTATTGAAAGTTGTAAGATTGGGCCAACAGCTAACGCCAACAGCTTCACTATATTGTATAATGTGTTTTTTTAGGTGGTTCACTAAGGTACTCGTATTTCCACTAAATTTGTATTGACTAGAACACAAATTGCATTGTACTTTAGTATTATTGTCTATTTTCGAAAAAAACTCCCACGCCACACTTTTCCTGTTTCCCGGAGCCATTCTAAACTTATTAATCAGACAAACAACACTTAATAAACTAATAATACCGCAACAAAACAATAAATTACGAACTAAGTAGTAATAACAAAAACGTAAACAAAACAAATATCTAATCTTTTGTGTTAAAACTCTGTCATTTGTTCGCCGAAGACGAGAACTATCTCTTTCACTCGCGGCTCGCGGCTCGGACGACGCGACTACGTTTCGTTGTTCGTGCTGACTCGGGCTCGCTCGGTGTCGTTCGGGCCTCGCGAATCGCGGGCTAGGCGGCGAGCGGGCGGCGGCGTCGAGCGGCGCGCGGCGGGCTGGCAACCTACCCGCCCCGCTTGCCACTGCGCGCGCTCTTCGGTTCAACCCGAGTTGCAGAAATATTTACTCGGGCTGACTCGCTCACGGTCTGACTCGAGTTGCCCGAGTTAGATAACTCGAGTTGCCCATCACTAGTACGCGCGTTATTGAAGGTTTGTAGGTAGTATCGGTTCGGAAATACCGCGACTATTCTGAAGTTTTGCTGTGCAAGGAAGAAAGTTTCGCGAAAATTGCTTTGTTCTTGACTGCCGACCATCTATATATAGGAATGAAAGTAAGCGTTACTAGCTTTTAGGTCTTTGATAACCTCAGTCATCGGATCGGATCCCTGATGGTAGGCAATAGGCACCGCCCATGGACACTTGAACACGAAAGCAAGCACTACTAGGGTTACCGGTCTACAGAATTCAGTTAGTGATTTGAGGATTGGGGAGGGGTAGGTTGAGGATTGGGCCTCTAGTGACCTCACTCGGCACTCGGATTCTGCTACAATGTGGTATCATCCAGTACTCTGCATCAAGCAGTCTGTTTCCGACCACGACCTGTGCAACCAGGTCGAAACATCAAGCCTTCAAGGTATTTAAATAATTCCTTTTGGCGTTAATACCCTCGTAGTAAACATATACGCGAAAGTTTATAAGTTGGTATCATTCAGACTTGAAGAGGCGGTCCATTCGTGCCGAACAGTGGTCACGTGCTCTGTATAATTTTGAAGTACTTGGAAAAATCGTTGCTCGAGCAGTTTCGGACAACTTGGGGGTCGATACCTAAATTCGAGCAGAGGCTTTTTTATTACGTTGTAAATTTAACATACCTAAATGTCGAAAAAATGGCTGTTGTTTATATGTAAGTATTGTGATTAAATATTTTTTACGGCAAAATAAATGTTTCTTAAACGATATGAATTTATTTATTTATTTAATTGATAAAGAACTCGTTGGAACGTTGGTTCTGGTTGTGGCGCCACTTGCACGCCCAGTTCCAGCACGACATCCCCGCCCAGGGCTCGTCCGTGTAGAAAACCTGACCGTTTTGGTACATCTGGAAACAAAAGGATAAAATAAGATACCTATAGGGCTCCGATTTGGACAGTTGATGCTTGATTGATGCATCTATAAATAAGTTTTTTTATGTGATAGGACGGCAAACGAGCAGACGGATTACCTGATGGTAAGCAATCAGCGCCGCCCAAGGGTGCTTTGCCGACAACGGGTTTGGAGATTTAGGAATTGGGGTACGGGAAGGGTAGGTCTCCGGTAACCTCACTCATGCGATGAAACATAACAATGTGGTTGTTTCACGCTGTCTGTAAGGCCGCAGTATCACTCCGGTCGAGCCGACCCATTCGTGCAGAGCCATGGCTCTCCCACACTTGCCCACACACACTGTTTCTTTTTTTTTTGGCCCACTCATTAATGACCACACTTGCTCAAGGCAGATTAGCGATTTAGAGCAGATATTAAAAGACTAGTATTTAATACGTACTCGACTACCGGGTACCGTTACTATGTCAGGGGAGTGTAACTGGAGATGTAACTCTGAAATATTCACATAAGTGCTTGCTAGATTTCGAATTGCTATTCTTACAACCTATTACAACGAACCATTGAATGACCAACGATTAAAATCGCCAAGCGTGGTGATTGACGCTGAAACCTTCTCCGTGTAATAAGATGCCTTTGCAAAGCATTTTTTTTAATATAATCGTTTCCCCACTAGGATTTTGTCTTTAACAGACAGACGGCGTGAAATAACTACAGCGTTGTGTTTCGCCGTGTGAGTGAGGTTACCGGAGGCCCAATCCTTCCCCTCCCCCAATCACTAAATCTCCAAATCCCTAATCCCCAAAGGGTCAGCAACGCGCTCGTAACTCCTCTGTTGTTGCGGGTGTCCATGGGCGGCGCTGATTGCTTACCATCAGGTAATCCGTCTGCTCGTTTGCCGACCTATCAGATAATAAAAATGATGATGATGATTGTTATGACCTTAAATATAAACCCTGCTGGGTCTGCTAGACCCAGCCACGCGTTGCTGTGGCTAAGGTAAATAATATTGTGACTATAAATTGAGATGTAAGCTATCCTATCTTTCAAGCTGGGTCAAAATGCACACGGAATGCAAATCAAATTTCAAATCGGTTTAGTAGTTTAGGAGTCCGTCGCGGACAAACACGTGACACGAAATTTTTATATATACCTAAAGATGAACAGTGGGCACCTTTACCTTCGGGCCACGACATTATAAAACTACCAGAAATATAATAGGTACCAAATACTTACGAACGACAAATCCGAGCTCTTGTAAGTTACTCCATCGTAACCAAATCTGAATACAAAATTCATTGCGAATATTGAGAAGATGCATCTGACGTCAGTCGTGGCTGGTATAAAGTAGCGGTAAGGACCGCAATAGTATGAGACCTTCGGTTCATATTCCACAGACTCCGGAAACTCCTCACGAGGATTGATTCTGGAGAAAAAAATAACTTCATAATATAGATTAATTAGCGACTCGGCTCGTTTTTACACGGCAGCATTTTTTTTATGTAATTTGTCGGCAAACGATCAGACGGATTACCTGATGGTAAGCAATCAGTGCCGCCCATGGACACTCGCAACGGAGGAGTTACGAGTGCGTTGCCGACCTTTTAGGGATTAGGGATTTGGAGATTTAGGGATTGGGGAGGGGAAGGATTGGGCCTCCGGTAAACTCACTCACACGGCGAAACACAACGCTGTGGTTAATTCACGCCGGTTTTCTGTGAGGCCGTGGTATCACTCCGCATTTTGCGCATTACTCCACATTACGCACTCATCATAGCACGGACTAGCTTTCGCCAGCGACTTTCATCGCGTGGAGTACCGTCTTTCTGCAGATTTTTGTTGGGCCTCCGGTAACCTCATTCACACGATGAAACAGAACGCTGTGGTTTTTTCACGCCGGTTTTCTGTGAGGCCGTGGTATCACTCCGGTCAAGCCAACCCATTCGTGCCGAAGCTTGGCTCTTCCAGAACTGGTCGAGGTATCCCGTCAAAGTAGTCAATAATTAATTAAATATATTTCACGTAAGTTTTGAGTTAAAACCAAGTTTTTTACTTGTAAATGCACTGGGCATCGCTCCAGTTATCATCAGAATGGCAGTACAAGCCCTGGCTGGGGTCTTTGGCCTGGAACTGCTCAGCATGAGGTCCAATATATGTCGTCTCCGAGTGCCGGTGGTAGAAACCGCTAAAAGCAAATGCACCTGTAAAGAAATGAAACAAATTATTATCTAAGTAGAATAGTAGAATGCTAAGTATGTCGTGGTGGCTCGGAGGTTAAGAAGCCCGCTTCTCGTGCATGAGGGTGTGGTTTCGAAACCTGGTAAGTACTAATGTGACTTTTTCCAAGATGATTTCTATGATTATTTAGACGCCACTAACATACGGTGAAGGTAAACATCGTGAGGCTGGAATTGAGCAAGCGTGGTGATTAATGATCTAACCTTCTCCGTATGAGAAGAGGCCTTTGCTCAGCAGCGGGCACTCATAGGTTGATGATGATGATGATGATTGATAAGTATTATATTTTCATCAAAATAACTATCATGATAGTTATTTTGATGAGTAAGCACTTATAGGCTGCAGCCTATAAGTGCTTACTGTTGAACAAAGCTATCTTCTCACACTGAGAAGGGTTGGGCATTATTCACCAACCTTGTTCAAGGCGGGTTAGCGATCTGAGGTTTCCTCACATGGCGAAACACAACGCTGTGGTTGTTTCTAACCGGGTTTCCGTGGTTTCTCTTCGGTTGAGCTGACCCATTACCTAGCGGTGACCGGTGAAGCATGACTCTCCCACACTTGATATCGTTGACATGCCATCATTTTCTTGAGAGGAAAAATCAGTTAATTGCTTCTCTGACCTGGGAGAGGCGAGAGACAATGTCCGTACTTTCATTGACGAAAATCCACTCCGTCCCTTCTCCTGCTTCGTGAAGGAGTCGTGGTAAATCAATGCGCTTGCTCCCGCTACAAGAAGCCATCCCTCCGTTAGATAGAACCAGACCCGAGCGCGCGCGCGCGCCTCAAAGAGCCAATAGACCACCACAGACGGGGCCCTATAGGGCTGATGTTCAACCGGGGTTGCGGGGTAAGCGCAATTAGGCATCGCGACCTCGGCCCAAAGCAGGAGAAGGAACAGGGGGTGTTTTAGTCAGTAAGAGTCTGACACTCTCTCTCGCCTTACCCTGGGCGGGAGAAGTCATTAGATGATTTTCCCCTGACAAAAAACCCTCCATTAGAGAATCTTAACCTTAAGGAAGTCTCACCTCTAAACGTGTAGCAGTGTGGTTTCCTTTCGCTTGACAGAATCATTTGAGCATCTTCTTGATTGTGAGCTGACACGATGTAGTATGATGTGTCTAAACATTTAAATTCTGAAAAAAGAAAGGGATTTACAGATCTGGATCTCAATGTGGAAGTATATAAAGAGACAGACCAGAGGAAAGAATGTAAGGTTATGTTAAGAATGATACACATGAGAAAAGCATTTTTAGCGTAATATCGTCCGATAAAAGAGCAGGAGAAATTTGGAGGGATGGAGAGGGAGACCAAAGAAAATATAGATGGATTGTATGAGAAGTGATATGGAAGACAGAGGAGTTAGTGATAGCGTGACGGGTGACAGGACAGAATGGAAGACAAAAACAAACAGTCCCGCTGTGACTTGAAATTAGTAGAGATTTTCTCAATTAATTCACGTTATTTTCAATAAATTTAGTTGGTGTGTCTCACTATAGTTACCAAGTAATCCAAAACGAGAAAAAAAGCCATTTTCTTTATGGGATACGTCGGCAAACGAGCAGAAGGATTACCTGATGATAAGCAATCGGCGCCGCAGATGGACACCCGCAACACCAAAGGAGTTACGAAAGCGTTGCCGGCTTTTTAGCGATAAGGGTTTCGGATATTTATGGATTAGGGAGGGGTGGGCCTCCGGTAACCTCACTTACACATCGAAACAACGCTGTGGTTGTTTCATGCCGGTTTTCTGTGAGGCCGTGGTATCATTCCGGTCGAGCCGATCCATTCCTGCCGAAGCATGGCTGTCCAACGCTTTTGTGCTGATCCCCAAGCAAAATAGGATAAGGGCAGTAAGAAGAAAAAGATTTGTGTATTAAAAACTACAGACCAGGGCTTGTGTACAGTCCGAAAGGTATCTTCGCTTGCGTCGACTTGATCTTAGTCTCTGACGTGTCCATTTTCTTATTAAGTTTTAGCAGCACCATCGACATAAGCGCCATGTCCGTCGCAAATAGCAACCTCTTCATATCTTTTATATGTGAATCGATGAATGAATATAATTTCTTTGAACCAATGTCCATTATTTCCCGACGTTCAGACTAGACAGGAGAATTCACATTCTTAGTCGGATTACCAGTTTTTTTGAGTAGGTATCCTAATTGTATGTTTGTTATTATTGGCCTATCAAAAATCTATTTTATCAGGTTTTTTTTTTATGTAATTTGTCGGCAAACGAGCAGACTGATTACCTGATGGTAAGCAATCAGCGCCGCCCATGGACACCCGCAACGGATGATTTATGAGTGCGTTGCCGACCTTTTAGGGATTAGGGATTTGGAGATTTAGGGATTGAGGACGGATTGGGGGCGGGGAAGGATTGGGCCTCCGGTAACCTCACTCACACGGCGAAACACAACGCTGTGGTTATTTCACGCCGGTCTTCTGTGAGGCCGTAGTATCACTCCGGTCGAGCCGACCTATTCGTGTCGAAGCTTGGCTCTCCCACATTATCTCCGGCCGATCCGTGGTCCGATCCAACGAAACGATTTTCTGAAGGGATTGAAACCCATCGAGTTATGACTCTTTCCACTCTAAGCGGGGCGAGAGGAAATGTCAGACTTTCTGACCAAAAATAAGGCGCACGCGGAAGGCGACACGCCGTATGCTGGACTCTAGTTCTAGTTGGATGGCGAAGTGCTTTGGGCGCAGTTTTCAGTTTAAATGGGTTAATGGTTACAAGGGTCTTGTTTTTGTGAGGGGGAAATGATCAAATGGCTTGTCTGTAAGGGTGTCCCACAGAAGTCATTACCCATTTGTCGGAGGGGCGGGTATCGCCAAAATATTCGTCGCAAGCACCCGACGGGTATCGGTCCGCAGATGGTTAGGCGGACCCCGTCATCCACTGCGGCTGTCACTCCGACCGCAGGACTTTACTATGAGGTGCGCGCACCCTGTTCCAATTCTGATTTGTGCTGGGCCGTGGTTCTTAGGTGGTTGAGGTGGAGCTCGCCGCCCGACCAGAACCAGACCCGAGCGTACGGCGCGTAGTGTTCCGCGCGCGTCTCAAAGAGCCAATAGACCACCACAGACGGGGCCCCATAGGGCTGATGTTCAGGTGGGGTTGCGGGGTAAGCGCAATGAGGAACCGCGACCTCGGCCCAGAGCAGGAAAAGGAACAGGGGGTTTTTTAGTCAGTAAGAGTCTGTCACTCCCTCCCGCCCGACCCTGGGCAGGAGAATTAAGTCATTTGATGATTTTACCCTCACAAAAAAAACAAAATATAAAAAAAAGCTGGGCCGTGGTGTGGTATAAATGATCTTATGGTGACACTACCCCCAGCCTCGCAGGTTCTACATATTTAAGTTTATTTCTACTGGTAATTAGTGGCCGATATTAAAACACGTGGTAGGTACTCATGATAACGAAAAAAATTTCCTAAAGAAACTTGTTTCTGTACTCATTCTTTTTATTTTTATTACTGACGGGCGTCATCGCCCTATCAGCTATTAGCGGCGAGGCCCCGCCTCCAAACATAACATAATGCACTATAAAATCCGAAACTAGTATTTTGGTACTTTTTCGCGCGCCAGTTATTATTCAGTAAGTATTGTTTTTAAATATATATTTTTGTTTATGATAGGTCGGCAAACGACCAGACGGATAACCTGATGGTAAGCAATCAGCGCCGCACATGGACACCCGCAACAACAGGAGTTACGAGTGGGTTGCCGACCTTTTGGGGATTCGGGGAGGTAACCTCAGACAAGGCGAAACACAACGATGTGGTTGTTTCACGCCGGTTTTCTGTGAGGCCGTGGTATCAGTCCGCTCGAGCCGACCCATTCGTGCCGATTGCCGAAGCATGGCTCTCCCACACTACCGATATACCGGTCACTAGTTACCAGTCACCCTTTAAGTACCTAGGTATATTAAATAGTGTCTACTATTATATAAAAAAGCGTTCAAAATCAAAATTAACTGGATTATGCGGTTCCTTCATGCGACCATTCATGTAATTATAGTAATCTTGTAGTTTTTCAAATTTCTCATCTGCATAGCTGTGTCGGGGGTCGATGTCCTTCGAGCTCGGCATGTTGTAGGGTTTCTGGAAAACAAATTTACAATAAAATTAATATCCCGCGGTCTAATGATAAAAAGAAAAATGCGGCGGGAGATAATGATAAAAAGAATAGGGATATCTCCTGGGTTAAAAGTTAAAATAACAAGATTCTAATTAGTCCGTCAGTTAAATTACAGAAAAATACTCGATACGTATTTTTTAATTTGTACATACGAATAATATTGACAAAGATACAGCACAATCAAATTCAGGAGTAGGGGCTCGTGACGTCACTCTTTCGTAAAAATTTTACGAAATAATGACGTAGCGCGAACTTTCGCCGCTATATGTATAACTTTGTTATTTTAAGTTTTAGAAGCAAAAGAAAAAATACGTATCTGCTATTTTCTGGCGTTCTAAAAGATGGACTAATTATTATTTTTTAGTCGTCATCCCTATTTTAGATTAGTTAGGTATAGAAGCAGGTAGAAGAAAAGTCTTCTAAAAATTGTCCCAAATCACTACATGGTATGAAACACTCGCTTTCTCTGTCCTTATATCCCTACTAGCTACTCCCGCGCGTTTTCACTCCCTATTCGGCTCCATTTGATTGTAGCGTGATGATTTATAGCCTATAGCACTCGGGAACATTGCAGGTATCAGATGGTTAAAAAAAATATTTGTGTTTTTTTTTGTGAGGATCATCAAATGACTTCTCCCGCCTAGGGCCTGGCGGAAGGGAGTGTCAGACTCTTACTGACTAAAAACCCCCCCTGTTTCTTCTCCTGCTCTGGGCCGAGGTCGCGGTGCCTCATTGCGCTTACCCCGCAACCCCGGCTTAATATTAGCCCTATAGAGCCCCGTCTGTGGTGGTCTATTGGCTCTTTGAGGCGTGCGCGGAACGCTACGCGTCGTACGCTCGGGCAAAATATATTAGTTTGGATTATAAATACTTACAGTCTCCACAGTTGGGAACGACAGCCGGGCAAGCTGTGAGCAAAAATATCACATAAGAATAACAGAAAATAGAAAGACAATACGTACATAATGGTACAAGCGTGTAATGTTGGCGCATTGAGGAGTCGAGGACGGTAATCATCAATACACACGTGTATCATACGACGTTATTCAACATACTTCTGAATAAAATAATACTTAAATAAAAAACTTTAAAAGAGAAAACGAAACGAGTTGTGAAAAATGTTTCGTAATGGCGGGAAAAAATAATCAGTATTCCTATGCGCGCGCATCGGCCATAGACTAAAAATTTATTTTTCTTTTTTTTAATGAAAAACTTCAAAAGAGAAAACGAAACGAGTTGTGAAAAATGTTTCGTAATGGCGGGAAAAAATAATCAGTATTCCTATGCGCGCGCATCGGCCATAGACTAAAAATTTATTTTTCTTTTTTTTAATGAAAAACTTCAAAAGAGAAAACGAAACGAGTTGTGAAAAATGTTTCGTAATGGCGGGAAAAAATAATCAGTATTCCTATGCGCGCGCATCGGCCATAGACTTAAAAATTTATTTTTCTTTTTTTTAATGAAAAACTTCAAAAGATAAAACGAAACGAGTTGTGAAAAATGTTTAGTAATGGCGGAAAAAATTAATCAGTATTCCTATGCGCGCGCATCGACCATAGACTAAAAAATTATGTTTCTTTTTTCGGGCTTTCCGCTCATAGCATGTTAGCGCAAGTGTAAAAGTAACTCAACCAATATGTTGGGGTTTTCTAGTCGTAGAGAGATACCCCGGTAGTTGTAGGAAAGTAGTAAGTTCACACCAAACCACTGTTATGTTCAATAGTTTAATTACGTTTAAGTTACGTATGTTTAGTTATCTGAGCCGCACTTGATGCAACGTTATTATTGATCGACCCGCTCGTGGCTGAGTTTTAGTGACGACTGAATTTATATTATAATAGAATTAATAAAGTACGTTTAGCGTAATTCATTACGTGCGCAAAACGTATTTTTGCTGTATGAGCATTATTGGCTCGTACATGCTCCCGAGGGAAGATTGTACGCACTCAGATTACCAAACTAGAGTTACAAGTTAAATAATATACATGTTAATAAGCAATCAAAACAATAAGCAATACATAATTCTTAATTAATTAATCATAGTTTAAATCTTGTTCCAATTGCTGGTAGCTGTGACCAGTTGTTTTCCGAACGTCCACCTCGTATTTTGGCGTAGGCAGGAATCTCCTTCAGTTCTATATCTTCTGTCCTTTCTTGAGTCTTGTTGGCTACAGTAGCGCTCTGCTTACGCGCCTGAAGATATCTTCTTATTCGCCAAACAATTATCGCGGCGACGATTCCTCCCACCAGCACGGAGCTTATAGCGTAGTTGCCGATGTCGTGGACACTTAGGCCGTCAGGTAGGCTCTCTCTTCCTTTTTGTGCAGTTATCTGATCATCTAATAATTTGTGATCATCTAATAAGTTTAATTTTGGTAGCACAATCTTTGTGTTTCTTAATGTACTCCACATATCATTTGGTGAGTCAATAGTAGGTACCTCCAGGTTTATTCTAATGTTGGTACTGCTACTAAAAACATTATGTGAATAAATTGTGTTGTCTTTGTGCTGAAGTATGCAGTCCTGACCTAGGGCAAGGAGCCCTGCTTTTGTTACACTCGTTGTAGTAATTCGATTTTCGCAGACGATGCGAATCGTGCACTCATTGATGCAATTATACAGCCATATGTTAGGTCTCTGTAATTTTATCCATTGGTCAGCGCATTGTTGTGATACCCAATCACATGTTACGTTATTAACATTTTGATTGAGTATTTTAGCTTCGCAGGATGCTGTTGCTCCATGCAAGTTGTTGATAGTTGTCGAGGCGTGGCAGATATGATTGTCCGCGCTCATTGTGGTACATTGCTGAAGATCAACCTCTTCCATCTGTATGTAGGTGCTCTTTACGAAGTTGA